ATAACCATGTAAATTCGACATACAATTCTTGCGTACCGATACCGCAAGAAAATATATGAAAAGAAAATTATAAGAGGGGGAGAACGAGTAAAGAAAACGGAAATGCGAATAGTGGAGAGAAAAGCGTCGGGGAAAAAATAAAAAGGGGGTGAGGGAGGAGAAAATACGTAGAACAGGAAGATATCAAAGAGGAAGAGGGAAGAAGGCGAAGCGCACAGACGACGACGATACCGGGAGTGGACAAAGCGTGAGAGTGGGAGCGGGGCGAGGAAGGGAGGGATAAGGGGTTGGAAAGGGGGCGAAGAGGCTACCTGACGGAACCCCCAGAGAAGCGGTGGAAGTATTGATCCGGAATGTGTCGGCGACCACCTGCCCGGAACGCACGCTCTTCTACTCCTTCGCCACTCGGTCCCTCCTCCCTCTTCTCGCGCTTCTACACCCCTTCCGCGCTTCACGTTTATCTCTTTCTCCTCTTTTTCTCGCCCCTCGCATCTCCCCTATCTTGTTTTCCTAATTCTTCTTTTCCGTCTAAATCCTTTCGCACATTTTTTGCTCTTTTTTTATCTTCTTGTTTAAATGTATTAGTTATTTATTGGTTTTTCGTCGTCTCAATTTGCCACAATTTATATATTTATATATTTTTCATTTTACTTTACGGGGGTAAATTTATTTTTATTTCAGTTTCTTTCTCTCTCTACTTTCTGTTTTTCTCTCTTCTCTTTTTTATTCCCGGACTCTTTTCCCTTCCCTCATTCATTCACTTTCTCTTGCTCTTTCTTTCTATCGGTAATCTATCACCCTCGTATTTCGTAGTATAATTTACCACCGAATTGCTCTCGCCATTCGGTCGATCTCAATCCCGACAACCGCGATGGCTCCCCTCGAACGAGCTCACATTTTTGCACCAGACAGACATTGATTTGTCTGCCTTGTTTGAATGATAAATAAATTGCACCGGTGAGATCGGGAAAACGGTCCATGTTGATAAATAAATTACATATAAAAACAAATTATTTTTATACAAATATATATATCGTTTTTCTCACTAAAGCGTGCCTCTTTTTTATTTGCGATTCAACAGTTCTCGTTTTCCGTTCAGTGATGTAAAAAAAAAAAAAAAAAAAATAAGACTTAGCGAGAGGTAAAAATAATAATACGTAAAACCCGTATATATTCTATGGTTAATTCCGCGCGGACTTTGACAGAATCTTAAATCGAATTTCTAAACTTCAATTAATCTAATCGAGCCGAAATAAAGGTAGGAACGCGAGCAGCTATAGATAATATTCTTATCCCTCCTCGATCTTGCGGTGGCGCGTCGCCGCAAGGTGCGGGCACGTACATGAAGCTAACGTGTCGCGTTATGAATGAAATTATAAATATGTGCATGCTAGATGATCGCGCGCACGTAACGTCGAGGGAGAACGAACGCGAACGAACGAACGGGGGCGAGACGCGAGCGTAACGCTATTTTTGGAGTCCTTCTCGACCGATTCTCGTTGCGCCTCGACCTTCCTCCTCATCCTCGTCCTCCCCTCTCTCCTCCCTCTCCCCCCCTCTCTCTCTCTCATTTACTTTCATTTCCATCTTTTTACCGGATTTAATGGAATCATGTAAGGCCGTTCAACTGCCGTTCGCGTAGCTCACTCCGTTTCCTCCTATCGAGAGGAATCGCGAGGCCCTTACGATGGAGGAATCGTGTGTCTGGCATCGATTACACCCTGAACCCCGGATGAAAAATTAATTACAGCCTCACCTTGTTATAGCCCGAGAGCGTGACGTAAATTCACCCCGCTTTGTGCCCCCGATATTATCGCGCAAATAACGGATACACTTATAATTCTGATTCCGTTATTTAAGAATAATCCGTAAAGCCATGTACACAATTAATATAGCGATGGAGGCTAATATAAATCAAAATTATTCATTCAATCGTAACTTGATTGTAACGAATCGATTTATCGGATAGAGCAATAATCTAGATAAAAATCTGACCTAAATCGAGGCATAAAGAGAAACAAGAAATATTACTCGGGCATTTTTTTTTCTAAAAAGGGATATAAAGAAGTTGTGTGTGGTTTGTAATTTTTTCTGAATAATCGTTATTGTGTAATTTGTTGGTACCATTCTTCTGTGCGAGATATGAGAATAGCGCATTAAGATTCTCGCAATCTTTCTCGTAATCATTAATTACTATCTCGCGGATTACGCGCTTCTCTTCATTTTTTCTCATCTTCTAATCTATGATCTACGTTCGTATCTTTTACTTAATAATTTTCTTCTTTTAATATTTTCTTTCTGTCAATAAATGAAATAATCCACGACGCGAATCGCAATATGTCAGCTAAAAAAGAAAAAGTAATGCGTGTCCCACGTGTGTGACAGCAATAATAAGATCGCGCCATGCGGTGTGATCTGACGTCGGCAAAATCGTCTAAATATGTCTTGGACGTGTTACAAAGCTTGTGTTGCTACGGGCGCTATTTCTACTCGCCAATTTCGAATGTCGCCATTCAAGAGTGACGACAGCAGGCACTTGCAATTGGAATGTAGCGATGAGCTTTTTCTTTTCAGACATATATATATATATATTAGCATCCCGGAAAAAAATCTCGGCGGATAAATATAACACGTGGAGATCACCGCCAATATTTCCCGAGGATGGCCACTTTGCGCCTAGATTTATTCGCGTGACGATATTTTGTATAGGACGGTCGTTGGTTGGAGGGAAGAAGAGAGAGAGAGAGAGAGAAGTAGAGTTTGACATAATTTGATAAAGTCATTGAGGCCACGCCATGTGCCATTATGAGCGGAGAGACCACGCCATCATCCCTTCGAAGCGTAGTGGAGCGCACAGGAAAAACTGATTAGCTGATATGTGTGTTACCCTTTGACAGAGGATATACAGGATGTCCCGAGCCCTATATCGAGACCACATTTTACTTACGAATATCTCGATAAAAAATAATAAAAATCGCGCGATATATTTTTTTTTTCTAATATAAAAATTTTGAGAAAATTCTTACAGGATTTATCGATTAAAAGGAAATCTCGTTCTCTCTTTCTCTCTCTGTTATTGCTTGGTGAACCTACGCTTTAAGTGTAAATGAACAAAACGAGATTTAGATAAGCAGGTTTGCTTTCGCTCACTGGACGTAACTGGTCTTATATTTTAATCTTTGTTGCGTCTCGAATAACTTCAAAGCCCTTAAACGCTCCGAAATATTGACAATTTAATGAGGCTACGGGAACTCGGCAATTGTAATGCAGTATATGTATATGCGCGCGAGAAAGATACCTCCATCTCTTTCCAGATTGATATGTTTGAAACGCAATGTACGCATTTCCCTTAGATATTTGTGGGCATTTCGCAATTTAAGAAAATCGCGATTCTATATCTGAAACTGTAATGAAAGACAGGATGTCTACTTCCTGGAAAAAAATATGGAAAACCTAGAATTCTCAAGGACTTCTTTTGTACCTGAAAAGGGAAATTTTATTGATACTCGGGCACACACAATTTAAACAAAAAATTCAAATATTTATCTTACGAAAGTTATTCAGTTTTTTTAAGTACATTTACACAAATCGAATACTTGAAACTTAAGAGGCTCTGTGTTTTTTCTTCGTAAGAGTGAAAAACATTAGAAAACGCATGCAATACAAAAATTTATTATAGAAAATTGCATCAGAAGAAATCTTTAAAATATCCTCTTTATCTAGAATTTGGAACGAAAATACCTGAAGATAAAGGAGGGAATTTTTGTACAAGATTTGAATGGGGACACTGAAATATCAAACTAATAGTAAGTGTAAATTACAGACCAATGTCGGCTTGTGGACAGCGATTATCAGTTAATGATGATAAGCGTCAACTAACGCGATAGAAAGAATCGATTCTAATCCTAATCTCCGCGCGCGCAATCCGTGGACGTTGACTCGCGATTACGCGGACGAGAGGACGCAGTCGAGAGAATCAGCCGATATAGCGAAATCACTCCCCCTCCTCCACCATCGGATTGTATACGGAGTGAAGGTGGCTGCACATGCCGTCGACGGGCCGGCAACTGTCACGCACGCGCGTGTATTATAAACCTCTCCCTTTTTTTGCGAATGTATAAGCACCGTATTTTTCCCGATTTGCTCCGCTATATCCGGGTGCAAAATTTTTGCCTAATATTAGCACGATAACGTAACAAAAAATAAAACTTAGCACGCAAATATACCTTTATTTTTACAAGAATGCATTTTATATATTTCTCTTTGTCGGAGATAAAAAAGCTTAACCACGTTAAATATATATATAGACATTTTACGCTCAGTTTTTGCGTTATTATCATTATTGGCATTAATATCGAATTTAGATTTTACATGATATTAAACGCGACATTTTTTTTTATCAATCTGAATCGAATTTCACTTCGAAATTCAATAGCGTGGGACGATGATATTTTTTATTGAAATCACAAAGTTCTTTTTTTCTTTCACGAAGCAAGACTTCAAAGATTTTAATGGATAATAAAATTTTGCCTTTTCATTTAATTTCAAGCAAATTTAAATCGAAAAGCTTGACTATAATTTCGTCAAAGCAGCTAGAAATACACTATAATTCATTTGCACAATATATTCATAGCATTGTTACTTGTCGTGTAATAATATCAGATGACTCCAGTTTCTATCGACTCAATTAAATTGTTTGCTTACACATTTAGAGGCAAAAAGAAACAATAACATTTTATTGGACCGTCATTTAAGTAATAGAAAGTTAAAAATAGCGACTAAGCATTTCACTGATATATTTTATTTTTTAATAAATTGATTATTTACAACAAACATTTAGACATAAAAATATGTCACTTCCATAAAAAGAGACCTTTGAAGCTATTTTTATTTATTTATTTTTTATTCCTAGTTCTTAACAAAAGTAATTGTATCAAAGTAAAAATTTATACTCGAAATATGCATAACCAAAGATTATATCAATGCTATTTTTGTTATAGATGTTAACGCTGCGGAACAGGAGGAATTGTTTATCAAAAAGCTCCGCCAATGCTGCGTGGCTTTCGACTTCATGGATCCAATGGCTGATCTCAAGGGTAAAGAAATTAAACGGAGTACGCTCAATGAATTGGTGGAGTATATCACAGCAGGACGAGGTGTCCTTACTGAGCCCATTTACCCGGAAACTATCAAGATGGTACGTGATTGATAAAAATATAATGTCAAGATATAAGAAAGTTATTAAACTAGAAATGAAAATTCTGCATTTCTCACCTTTTTCTTTGTCAATAAGGTTTTAGGATCTTTATCATAATTTTTATTTTCTTTCATAGAGCATTTTTTTCTATTGTCCCAAAATTTATTGTATCTAAGGAAATAAATAATCCTCTCGTGAATTCAATAATTCTTATACTTCTATATGTATTTACATGTATCGTAATAAATATATAATAAATAAAATTCATAAAACACTATTTAATATTAACGTAATGTGTTTGTTAGGTTTCTGCAAATTTATTTCGTACGTTGCCACCGAGTGAAAACCCGGATTTCGATCCAGAAGAGGATGATCCGACACTGGAGGCGAGTTGGCCCCATCTTCAGTTGGTCTACGAAGTCTTCCTCCGTTTTCTCGAGTCTTCAGATTTCCAGCCTGCCATTGGCAAAAAAGTTATCGACCAAAAATTTGTGTTACAGGTAGAGAGCATTTTCCAAGATATTTGTATATATTTTGGTACACTTTCTAAAACAAATTTTAATAAATACAATAAAATATAAATCCATACAATTATATGTTATATAATTATAATTATATTGTGATTATATTACATTGTAATAATTATAATTATAATTATATTAGTTATTGGATTTATTCGACTCGGAAGACCCGAGGGAAAGGGATTTCCTGAAAACCGTTTTGCATCGTATTTATGGCAAGTTCCTGGGTCTTAGAGCCTTCATACGCAAACAAATAAACAACATTTTTCTGAGGTAATTATTTAAATCTACAAATGGTGTTTCCCATTACACATTCTTTATTCAAAGTATTATAAAATTGTAATCTTTTTCATTTTATTATTATATATTTTAGGTTTGTGTATGAAACAGAACATTTCAACGGCGTCGGTGAACTTCTTGAAATTTTGGGTAGCATTATTAATGGATTCGCTCTTCCTTTAAAAGTTGAGCATAAGCAATTTTTGGTTAAGGTATGTGTTCTAACTATATATCATATTCTCTTTATTAAGTTATGATCTATTTTTTAGTCCTGCGCTGATGAAGGGTTATCGAGTTCAATTATTTTATTACACAAAGTAAATGATAAATGAAGTGTAAATAACAATTATGTAGACAAATATAATATCGAGTACGTTGTTTAAATATTTCAATTATAAAAAAGATATTTTTGTATTTATTTCCACAGGTGCTGTTACCGCTACATAAAGTGAAATGTTTATCACTATATCACGCGCAGTTAGCTTATTGTGTGGTGCAATTTTTGGAAAAAGATGCGACTTTAACAGAACCAGTTGTACGAGGCCTCCTTAAATTCTGGCCTAAAACGTGCAGCCAGAAGGAGGTGATGTTCCTTGGCGAAATCGAGGAAATATTGGACGTTATAGAACCTAGCCAATTTGTTAAAATACAAGAACCTTTATTCAGGCAAATCGCACGTTGCGTATCTTCACCACACTTTCAGGTAAGCAACTCGGATGATGTAGTGTTTCCAGCTAACCTTTGACGAATTCTCTCTCATAAATGCAATAAATTGTTTATGTGTTGTTGCAGGTTGCGGAAAGAGCATTGTACTTTTGGAATAACGAGTACATAATGTCTCTAATTGAGGAAAACAATCATGTAATAATGGGAATTATGTTTCCAGCACTGTACAGAATTAGTAAAGAGCATTGGAATCAGACGATCGTAGCTCTTGTTTATAACGTTTTAAAAACGTTTATGGAGATGAACAGCAAGCTCTTTGATGAACTTACTGCCAGCTATAAGTCTGAAAGGCAAAAGTAAATCCAAATTTGGAAATGTTTTATGATTTCTTTTTCTTTTTAATCAACTAAAAATATATTTTTTGTTAATTCATCGTTACATTAAATATCTGTTTAAAAAATCCACTTGAAATATTATGGAGAATATGGACTTGTATGCATTTCCCTTTTACATGCATGTCTCTGAATTATAGAGAGAAAAAGAGGGAAAAGGAGAGAGACGAATTGTGGAAGAAACTGAGCGAATTGGAGATAGAACGACGTAATGCTCTCGAACGTAATGCTATCACAGCTACCTCCAATAATCCAGTTCCTGCCACTAACACACCTGCGACGCGAACCCGCCCCTGAGCTGGTAAGAACAATAACGTAATGTTAAACAAATATCAAAGAATTATTCTCTCAATACTTCGTAAATATTGAATCTTTTATCTTTTTTGTTACAGGTCGAATTACAGTACCACGCTGCCCGATTGTTAGCTCTTAGTTTACGTCGATTGTCCATATATTACACGCAAAAAATTATTGTTGTTAGTGAAACAAAGTGTCTCACGATGGCATCCTTGACGTAATGTAATTCATTTTATTAGTTGTGACCAGTATGGCGGAGTGATAGAAGCAGGAAAAAAAATGCAAAAGAAAAGACAATGCACGCAATCTTATGCTTTTTTTTTGTTTTTTTCTTCTTTTTTTTTGACAACAATAATGACATCAACAATAACAACGTGGCGATCAGTGAATTCCAAATGATTTTATATATGTGTATATCGGGTACATTTACTTCCGTTTCTTGTCTCGTTTTGAAATGGGGAAACGGTCTCGATTGCATGATGTGTGTACTCTCAGTGTCAGTACGCAACAATGTATTAGTCCATCCTTGACTAAGATTTTGTTGCGTTTTCGGTAGGACGGGACAATCGTGGTGTAAATTTCGAATGGACGAAGTTATACACGTCGTTGTGATCCTTATGTTCATTTTACGGAGGACGCGACACTTTGTGCATTCTCTCAGACGGCCAGTGTGTCGCCTCCTGACTGACCCTTGCGCTGTTTATTACTGCTCCTGATAGAGCCAGCGGGGGTGTTTGAATATATGTATCATATATTCGTATTAGCGATAACGATAATTATAACAGGTACGTAATAAATTAGGTAAAAATGAAAACAAATATAAATATAAATATATACAATATGATATATATTATTAAAAAAGAAAAAGGATATATATAGTTAATATGAGATACAAAACAAGTCACAGACACATACGCGTACACCAAACTGCGATAAATGAAAATACACGTGTAAAACATATATAGGCCCTTGTGCTACTAACATAGAGCTGTGGCTGCGTGCCGGCGGCGAGTTGATAGAACAAACCTTTCTTTCAAAAGCGCGAAGCCGCAGCGGGAGACGGCATACATGAATTAGTTAACGAATGATAAGGTTCAATTCGCGCGGACGATGGAGAAAGTGACGGAATATAAGAGTAGAACGTACGAGACAAATATATATGTATATATATATATATATATATGTATATATACGATTTATACATACATATTAATTGTGTATATATATATATATGTATATACATATATATGCATATATATATGTTCTTTTTTTAAATAGAGGGAAGGAAGAAGGAATAATGGAGCGAGGGGATGAGAGGAGTATACAATAAATGACGAAGAAAAGAAAAACAGATTTGATTGTACCAAAAACATCCGTTGCTTATAAATATAATTACGTGATAGTGATACAGCGCGCAGATATATAAGGATCCACTTTGGAGCTGTGCTCCCTACACTGGCAAATGTAGGGGAAACACACATATATATACACACACACACTACACACACCGCGGGGTCGTTTTTAAAATTTCTTACCATTGCATAATAATAATTAATAATATTACGAATAACGATAATGGTAACAATAAAGAATAACTAAATAAAAGAAAATAATAATAATAAATGACAATGATAAACAAATAATAATAGCCACAAATAAAATAAAATACGATAGTTGACAAAAACAAAAAAAAAAAAAAAAAAATGATTGACCGCTTGCTCATATTTTCATGGAGAGGATTCGCACGAATTGCCATTGTTCATTTTTCCCCGATTCCTTTTCTGATGATTTCTCGACATGGTTTATTATCGTCGAACGTTTCTCACGACTTGTACACGACTTGTGCTCGCTTTGCGTTACGCTCCGTTTACCTTCGCTACGTAAAATCTCGTACGGAGACAGAGAGTGACACATATACATATATAAATATAAATATATATATTATTGTAAAATAATGTAATGTGACTTTGAAGACGTAGGTGAGAGTCCGAGAAAAGATTCTTTACGCGTAAATAGATACACATTTATTAAAAACGTGTCTAAATTATTTCCACTCTGTTTTTTTCTGTACATTGTATCGTGCTTGTTAATATAAATTGTAAATGTGGAAAATTTATATATATATACATACACACAAGAAAGAGAGTTTGCAAAAACTCATGACTCGGAGTTTATACAAATTTTTAATTTTTTTTTTCCTAGCAAAACTATTATATCTTATTAAAAATATTATAATATCAGCAATAGTTGCTAACTTACGAGCAATAAAGTTTTTTGCGAAGAAAAAAACTGCTTACAAATTACAGAAACTCTGTCATTGAAATTAAATTATCTGTATATTCTGTATATTTCTAATACTGATCGTTTTTATCATATCTCACAGTGAACGATTGTTTTATTTTTTCTAAAAGTAATACTTATGCACGATACATTATCCGTACATTTTTGTCGCTTATACTTTCTTTCTCTGGAGAAAATTTTTGTGCAAAAGAACGAGAACACGAGTTTTAAAAACATGTATATTTCAAGTGGATTCCATTTTATCCAATTTCAATTTAATGCTTATTGTTAATTATATACAAAAAGACATATATCGTTAGAAATTAAAAGATTAAGGAAAGGAAAACTGCCTTTGAAATTGTCACTGAGGAAAGAATGACTTTAGATCCATCTGATAACTAGTCAATTTTAAATTAAGATCGCGCGATACATATTAATCGCATAAGATTTATATGAGACTGTCAAAGTCCGGTCATCAATAATTTCTTTCAATTGTGCAATTAAACAAAATTTCGAATTTTTCCCGATTAAAAACTTGATGTATATATGACACCATATGGCGTTCTCTTGGTTCTTTCTTAATTTTCAATATTAGATATTTCAATAATTAAATATCGGAGAAGAAATTTCATCCTCGAAGCAATATTGATACGTTCGCGAACGAAACGCTATTTTCAGGATTGTCCAATCTTATAAAGGGAAGAGAAGATTAAATCCTGCTGGTGGATAAAGCATTCGAGATCCCAAGTTTCCAAAATTTTCGAAATCCACCGTGAATCGTCCGGATATCATCGCGCATGCGCGAAAATCCCAGCCCGCACGCCAATACTACGTTACGATAATTATAAGTAATTGACTGGAAATGTCACATTGTTGATTAAAACATGACCATTTTTTAATAGGGCAAGTGAGTATATATATGCATATATAAACGATTACTGTAAAATTTTGTCGATAGACGATATTTTGTATATTAGTGACGAGTTAACCTATTTATGTCTCTCATCTCGTTAATCAATTCTTTAAATGAAATAAAACTAGACACCCTGGTTTTCGAAGATACGTTTTTTTTCTTTTCGTGGATATCTAAAAATTTTTTTAGTTTATCCTAGATCCTTATATTTACAATGTATAATTAAAGAAAAGATGTGTTTCAATCATTTTTTAACTTAGTTTTTATCATCATCTTATCAACATAAATACCGTTATTGATAATTTATTCCATTTTTTTTTTTTTGGTGCAAAATTTATTCGATGTTTTATAATGCAATGAATAGATATATTTTTTCATAGATTTTATGAATGTTTTTTTTTGTTCTTTATAGGCTACATGATATTTTCTTTAGACTCGCATGTACACATAAATTTAAAAACCATGTGGAAAAAATACATTCAGCATTTGCTCGGAATAGATACAAAAGACAAGCAGAGAGCCATTCGTATAAGGAGAAGACTTTCAATATTTTATGCTTTTCTAGGATGGAATTGTTTCGGCCTTGCATTCTACGTAATACTAAAAGATAAAATACCAACAGACAGCACAGAACGAAGTACATATGCTTTTTATCGATTTTTAACTCTGGTTTTGTCAGAAAAACTGACAAAACACTTACTCTTTTATAGGAAAGTCATATAGGCTCTTGACTGGTGTACCTGATAACATGCATGTACTTCAAGTCTCAGGCCTGAAAGTTACCAAGGAATTTGACATTAACTATAAGAATGAGGAGGAAAAAGAGGCTGCTGAAATAGAAAAGGCAACTACTAAAGTGGAACATTAGAGGTAACACTTAATAATTATTTCTTAAAACTCGTATAATAAAAACATTATCAAAAGAGATAAACTTCATTGTTTTACAATATCTACACATGTACCAAGTGTGACACGTTCAATTAATCACTTATCCTAAAGGAACCTTTCAAGGAACCTTTTCATCAGTCGAGAGAAAACATGATATACAATATATCTAATCGACAGTTTTCTCTCAAAGAAGAGATCTTCGTAAGGCAATAGCGCCGGCATTACAGCTACCCGATTCTGGATTCAATTCTTTCAGTCTCTGTTCCATTTCGCACAATAATGCTGATCTGTAGTAAAACCAGATAACGCCAAATACGATAATGAGATTATTATAAACGCATCTAATACCAGCGGTCATCTTTATTTTAGATTTCTCGATCTTACCTGTATTCTTCGTAACGCATCACAACTTCCTCCAGTTCCTGTTTGTACAGTCTAGTGAGCATGGCATTGAAGCAGTCCAGTTCGGGTAAACGAAACAACTCCCAGCGCAGCTTACGATCAAGGGCTATCGATGCTCTACTGTACACGTACAGCCAATGCGGTATCTCCTCGTTGAGATAGGGATTGGCCGGCACGAGGACGCTGTGAGAGTGAAAGTGTGTGTGCCGCGGTGGTGACACGACGCGCACCGCTTGTATCTCGTGCGGATAACACGGATGCTCATATTGCGCTTGACGCGTGATGTGGCTGCAAAGTTAAAAAAAAAAAATAGTTATTGTAACGAGCGTTATTATGGGAATCGTCTTCCTTTTTTCTCGTAAGATAAACACTCACTTGACGTAATAAACCCCATATTCAGGCGACTCGATTCTCTCCCATCCTGTGGGTAAACCCTCCTTCTCGAGCGGATGCGACCAATGCGTGGTTTTGGTGTTGTGATCAATATAATACTTCCGGCCACGGAGCGTGAAGTCAACCGACCATCCGGGCGGTAAAGGCAACTCTTCCTGCTGTTGTTCGCTTCGAGAACTCGATCTTTCCGAATGGCACCTGCTGTAACTTATAACCAGAAATCGAAACTTATTAAAATAAGTATATTTTCGGAGGATATAGATCCCCTGATCTCGTAAAATGATACATTTTGCAATATTTATGCGAAAGCTACTAGGAGAATCGTTATCGTACCCAGCATTTTGATGATACATGGAGTGATTGTAATCTTCATAACCGGTATCAATCTCGAAAGGCATATAAGGCATCTGTGGTGTCTGAACTCTGTCCAAATGATATTCAGATCCAGCATACTGATTGATATAAGTATGGGACATTGCGGGTGACAATTCGGGATGATACATGGGTGTCGCGGTTCTCGAAAACATGCTGTCATTTATTCCAGTGTTAACAGAAAGACTGGCAAATCTACGATGAGGATAAAAGGATGAAAACATTAAGGGAAAAAATATTTTGAAATGTCTGAATCGATAAAAGTATTTGTTACAAATTTGATGGAAGTATTTGTTTCACGCACATTTTTAAATATTAATTTTATTTTATAGATTTTTAAAAAATCTAAATAATTATTAATTATTAACCTTTGAGCTAAGTCTGGAACGGAACTGTTTGGCGTATATTTTCCTTCGTGGCTACCTAAACCGACAGCACTGGTTGTAGTTTTTGTATTTCCGAACTTCTGCACCATACTAGGTTGTTGAGGAATGGACTATGATACCAGAGAAGCATCGATAAAAATCAACATCTTCAGATGTCTTCATATATATGTATTTCTTAACCACAGGATTGCTGATTGAGAATGGGAGATATTGTGTAAGATTTCTTGTTTTTTATCGAAAAGAATGGTATTCTAACAAACGTCAGAATTTATTCTAGCGCTTGAAAGACTGCCTATTGTCGAAAAAATTAAGAATCGCTTTCGCGATAATAATAATTGTATAAAGTGCATCCAGATTTATATTCTTTCAGACCGATTTCTTATTATGATTAGAATTTGTTTTTAAGGAAAATGTGCAAGAAACTATTTCTTACAGCTTTATTCAGCATTCATATACATTCAGTAATAAAATACAAGGCAACACTAATCTTGGTAACACATTGCACAATAGAGCATAAAAATTAAATCTAAAAAAATATATATATATAATCCTTTTAATAAAAAAGATAAAAAAAGTTAATATTTTTTTAGTATCAGAATGTATAATTTGATAAAAACAAAGTTGAAAAATATGTTTAAAAAGTTTTTGCAGATCTCTTTTTTTATTTTTCATTACATGTTAGGAGTATCATATTATATACTTTATTTTTATTTATATAATTTACCATATTTGGCATCGTTGAATGGTTGTTTCGTCGTCTCGTCCTTCTGTTTGGCTCTGTCGTCCATACATTGATAACTAGATGCAAATAACAAATTATATAATTGATGTTTTTATTAAAAAAAAATAGTATTAGAGAATATGAATGCCAGATTAATAGATAGGAGTTAAAAATTTTATAATATAATTTTTAATGGTAGCATTAGACGTAAATAAATAAAACAAAGCTAACTATATAATTATAACTAACCGATATTAATATTAAAAACATAAGTATATAATATTCGATCAAATCTATTACACTGAATATTATGCATATATTGTTAATATTTTGCTAGATACTGGGAAAAATACTGCTGTAATTTGTAATATAAATTGCCTAACAAGTTTATTGCATAATAATATGTCAAGCATATATGTCACGAAAAAGATAAAAGTATCTTGGAGGGTTGCAACATGTAAAATTAGAAGAAATTAATCAACAAAAAGTTTGTCCAACATAAAAGGTAATGGACTAACAATATATATTGTGAAAAAGAAATACATTTCTTTTAATCTAAATTTAGAAACGCCCTTTCATATATAAAAAAAAAGATATAATATCTCACCTATTAATACATTACGTCTATAATTTGTGTCGATCTTTGTCTCTTGAAATATAGCATATAT